GACTGGGCGGCCCTACCCAGCCTGCGCCGAGGCGAGCACGAGGACCTGCTTGAAAAGGTTTTTTATAGAGAGAGATATTTTTTTTTAAGATGAAAGAAAGAAAGAAAATAAAGAGAGGTCTTTTGTTGCAGACTGGAATTGCTGATATTTGATTTCCAAGTCTGAGATCTATTTTCTGCTCCGCTTTCACCAGGCAGGAGTTTGGGTTCGGCAGCCTCCTCTCCGTGCCCCACTCCTGGCTTCCCAATCCTTAGAGGGTCGAGGGAACCCACGGACAACCCCACAGGCACCTAGAGACATCCCCACCTGCTTGCTGGGCTTCAACTATCTTCGTTTATCAGCTCCATCTAAACATATCCAGCGTGTCCCACCTGCAGCAGCATCAGCCATACCAATGGACTGGGGGCCAAACCCCTCGGGACAGGGCTTGAGAAGCAGAAGCAAAGAGATCCCGCCACTGAGAGATAAAACAGTGTCGGCAGAGATGACAGCCAAGTGTGCTAACAGATCAAAACAAGTTGGGAATTCCCACAGGGCTGGAGAGCTCGGGGCCATCTGCTTGGGAAAGGCGAGAGAGCAGAAACCCTCAGGAGCACGGGATGGGAAGCACCTGGGGAGATGGGGCACGGCACAGAGAGGCAGCGAGGACACAACCATGGCCCACACAACTTCACCACTAACTGCAGGCTGCCTCATACGAACGGGGACTGGGTTTGGACAGGTGACACCCACAAGGCACAAACCCTGCTGAGATCTTCTAATTGCCAGTGATAACCCCAAACCACAAGGAGACTGTGTGGCTGCCTTTCCATACCGACACAATAGCATCCTCTTGGCTAATTAGAACCAGTTATCACCTCCTCCCTCTACTTCATTTTATTGTATTAATAAAAAAGAGTACTTTCCTTCTTAAGCTGCCTCAGATTTCTCTTCTGTCTAAATTCATCTGGGCTCTGAGCAATGTCACCGGGTCAGCTTGTGCTCCTGCTGCAATTCTAATTTTGTCAGCTTTCCATTTTCTAGGGAGTTGGGGGATTTTTCTTTCTTTCTTTTTTTTTTTTTTCCTTCCCCAAATCAAAAATGATTTTGCATAACAGCAATAATGTTAATGGCCCTGCACGGCGCATCCAGATTACAGGCTGCGGCTGGGGAGAAATAAACATCTCATCTTTGCCCTGCTGTTTATCTACCCGCAGCAGAGCCCGGTATCAGGTCAGAACCTGTAATTTCATTAACTTTATCACTCAGACACGCTCGTTGCTGGATGTCGTTATTCAGCACATTGCTCCCCTGGTTGTTTGCACCGGGCTGCACTTCGGGTGCTCCGGCAGCACGAGGGAGCTGCCCTCGCAGCAGCGCCGCCTGAGAAGGCAGTAACAGGGAACATCTGGCTCAGCGCACCCGTGCTTGGCTCACACATGGTTTGGGAAGCAGTTTACCTGCGCTGCCTGAGCTGCTGGGCTGGGCAGGGACTTTTCTCCCATTTTTCATGGCTGTACCTTGTGGAGATGTCCAGCGTGCTTCCCACCTGACCTGATAAATACAAAAGCATCGCACGGAGCAAAAAACACTTCCTTGTAGAGAGGGTGATTGAGCCCAGGAGCCCAGGGCACGCAGCACGGTGTGCGTGGATCCCAGCGGATGGAAAGCTCCCAGCACCTGCACATCAATCACTGCCCGGCACCTGGGGGAAGGCAAGCGGCACGAGCAGGTGGAGGGCGAGCCGAAGCGCTCCATCTTCATCGCGTGTGCCATCCCTGGTAATTAATGCTGGGGACTGACACTTGAAAGAGCCTTTGGTGACAGCCCCGGCGATGATACCGTTTGGAGCCCGCTGACAAGCCCCAGTTGATGTCTTATCACAATGCTACACGCCGGGAGTGGCAAGGGGAGCTTTTCCCCGGGGTGCTGATGTGCCCCGTGTCCACGGGCACAGCTCCTCGCCCAGCCCTGGTAATTACACCCAAACCCAACAGCCCTGGGCCAGGCAGCGGGGCCATGGAGGCAAGGCAAGTGGGGAGAAGCAGCGTCAGACTCCAGCTGGGATTCCCTTGACTCATCCATCTCAAATCCACCCATAAAATTCTGCCTGAAGAGCCGTGACACCCCGCGCTGGGGATCAGCAGGTCCGCGGTGTCCGCTGCATCCCACCCGCAGGTCCCCAGGGAAGCCCAGCTGCATCTGCTGCTCGTGGCCAGGTGGCAGCAGCTGCGGCTCCTCGGACGTGTCCCACATCTCCGCAGCTCCCGAGCATGTGCAAGCCAGCCAGGAGGGCTGAGAATTTGCATTTCTAGTCTAGGAATCCGGCACCCGGACCGCCTCATCCCCGATGATTCAGACTCTGTCTGGGCAGCTTTAGCAGAGGAGCAAGCAATGCACACCGCAGCTCGGCTGCTTCAGCAAAGCCTCATCAGAGAGGGGAAGGTGACCATGGGGGAGGAAACCCATGGTGAACCAGCACGGTTTTCAGTGACCAGAACCAGAAAGGCACAAACATGCCCCACGTCAAGGCACGAAGCATGACGGCCTCACGGGCTGTAGCGGTGGGGGCAGCAGCCCGGCACGCAGCCCCAGCTCGGGGGTTTTGCAGTCAGCATAAAAACGACTTTATTACCCGCTCCTGAAGCCCTCAGATAGTTTAATATTCTGCCCTAGATCTTGTTTACTATTATGTTTTGAAGAGCACTGAAATGCAGTTGCTGCTGTCTTCCCCACTCATACAACTCTAAATAATTTATAGAAAAGCAAAACAAAGAAGATAATATGAAAGAATAAAAGAGGCAGCTCCGTTACAGCATATGAAGGCCTTCATTTGTTCACTCCTGCTAAGCAGAGGGTCGGGGAAACATCTATTAACACGGCAGGGCTGTGAGAGCAGCCAGCTGCACACAAAGGAGGACGCTAACAGGGATGCTCAGAGCAGCACTCGAGGACGGCAGGCGGACCCCTCCACGGCTGTTTGAGCAGCAATAACCATCACTGCTGCGATCACCTTGCCTAAAAGAGCAGAGCGTAAGGAGCATTTCGTGGGTGGAAGAAACAGCCTCAGACACCACCGAGGGCTGCCACGCTTGGGGGAGCTGCCTTCCAGGCACGATGCATCGCCGGGGCTCTGCTGCTCAGCCCCACACGCCGTGGTGTGAGGGGTGGCAGGAGCAGGAGCTGAGCCCAGCGGTCCCTGTCCCCATCCCTGCCAGCACGGGTGCTCCAGCGGGGACCACTCAGCCTGTATGGGATCACCACGCTGCCCGGGGGCACGTCCTGGTGGCACCCTGCGAGCAGAAAGCCCCGTCCACCCCTGCGCCCATCCTTCTGCTGGAGGCGCTCAGCAATTAGCGCTGCCCCGTTGTTTATCCAGCTGCATTTCGCCCTGCTGCAGGTTAACTGCATTAAACCGCTCCTAATGACACGTCGATAAGTAGAGGTGGGTGATGCAGCTTCCCAGAGACAGGTTTTAAAAATGCAGGCAATCAAAGGCACATTAACCCGAGCACTCTGGGGAAAGTGCTGCTCCTCTCCGTGCAGGAGGAACAGCCGCGTCCGATGGCACAGGGCCCTGCCTGCCCTGTCACCTCCAGCCTTTGCTGCCCCAGATCCAGGCTGCTTTGCCCACAGGGACCCAAGCTGGGACTGGAGCTCCTCCACGCCCCAGCACCTTGGGGAGGCATGAAGCACCCCTTGGGTAAGGCATGAAGCACCCGCAGCACCTCGCCTGCAGCTGCCAGGGGGTCCAAACCTCTCCAACAGGCACGTTACCCAGCTCCACGCCTCACAGCGCACACAGCACCACGCAGGCAGGCACTATAACAGCCAGAACCCACACGTGTATAATTTTATAGGCTTCAGATGCTACATTAGCTGTGCCTGCCATGCCCTCTGTAACAGGCTAAGCACCACGGGCAGGCAGAGTTCACACCTGAGACCTGCCACATCCCCACAGGTTCAGCACCGCCGTTCTTCCCGCACGGGGATTTCTCTGATCTGCCATTCCCAGCTCCTCCACGCACATCTCAAATCTGCAGCCCTGATCACATTGTTTGTGGGTGACTCCAGGCTCGTTTGTCTGACTGCTCGCAGAATGAGACACGAGGAATGTTTTTGCTGCTCCTGGAAAACACGGCCTTGTGCAGCGGCTCTCGGAGGAGCGTGAGGCTCAGCGGGGCCCTGCCACACCGACACGTTTGCCAGCTAGAATTGATGCACTGCTTGACAGCGAGGCGATGAGCATTTCTGCCACCCAGAGAATAAAAATCGGTCTGATTGATGCCCCCGTGCCAGCACTCACCCCCAGCAAGAAGCCGGGAGGCGTCCCAGCATTTCTGTCCTGCTCAGGAGCCTGGCACAAAGGCTGAGCAGGAGCAAACCTCATCAGCACTGCTGGAGGAGCAGGAACGGCTGCTGAGGTACTGCACAAACCCATGGCAAAGGAGCAAATCCCCCTGCTTGGGGGGTAAACGCTACCTCTGCTCCCCAGCCAGGTATCCTCCAAACCTCAGGGGATTTCACAGCAGTCCCTGCCGCTGCCAGCACCAGATAGGCCACCCAAGCTTGAAATGAGAGCTGTCAGCTTCCCGTCTCATTGTGCTGGGCCAGCTCTCACTGGAAACGGGAGACTGCTTTGTGGAGAGGATTGGGCAAAAGAGACAGGTCACATCCTAGGGAGCCACATCTCTGAGCCCCTCTTAGCAGCCAGCCCCTGCAGCACCCGAACCTCCAGCACAGCGCAGCAGGGTCACACTGCGAGACCAGGGACAGCTGCGGGCTCACAGTGTCCCCAGTTTCCCCAGCACCAGCCAGCACGGAGTCCCCTCTCATGGCAGACAGCTTCAGGACAAGGTATGCAAACCACCTCAAGGATCGAAGTTTAGGACAAAACCCCATGAGAGAGGTGATTCCCCTCCCTTCAGCCCCAGGATCCTCCTCTCTCAGTGGCCCCACACAGGGCAGACACCCTGGCAGGGGATGGGGAGAGGGAAAGAGCAGGGAAAAAAACAACAAACCTTTTTTCTCATAGTCGGGCTTCTCCTCCCCGCCTCGGCCCAGGCTCTCCAGCGTCCGTGTCACCTGGCTGCCAAACTCATCCTCCCTGGTGCTGGGCTCTGCCCGCCGCGGCGTCTCCTCCTCCTCCTCGTCCTCGTAGTCATCCAGGATGGGGGTCTCGCGGATGGGCACCCCGATGACCGAGTTGTGGGCCTGCAGGCGCGAGTTGCGGAAGCTCTCGCGGGCCTGGGGGCCCAGCAGCACGGAGGGGATGTAGTGGATCTCGTGGGTGGCCTCGGTGCTGGCGCTCTTCTGCGGGATGCGGCGGCGCTTGTGCCAGCGCCGCTGGGCGTACAGGGCCACCGTGAAGACCAGGAGCAGCAGGAGCAGCGCGATCAGCCCACCCTGCGGGACAGCAAAGAGCACACGTCAGGTGTGGATAGGGGTGGGGAGGAGGTGTTGCAACCAGCATCCACGAATACTTTTCCACTTCCATCTCCAGAGCATCCTTTCAGCAACCCAGAGCCCATCTGCGCTCTGCAAGCCCCGTGTGGGTGGGGATGTGCAGCCCCTGGGTGCCCTCAGGCACAGACACAACCAACCCTGTGCACCCTGCCCACAAAGAGGGGAGGGGACGTACCTGCACCCCACCTCTCAGGAGCAGAGCGAACCTTTAGAACAGCCCAGCAGCCAGGGCAGGAGCAGCGAGGTCTCCGCAGGGACCCCACGTTTTGCACAGAAGGCTGGGCAACGACCGGCACCGCACAACTGCTGCTCCTCAGGGCATGGTTACCCAAAGCCGTTCAACATTCCTGCTTGTACCAGCCCTGTTCCTCCTTTTGGGAGCTCCAGGACAGGGCTGCCCAGCCACAAGTGATGAAGGCAAGGAGCACAAGGGGCCAGCCTCCATGTGTTGTTCTCACCCCCCAGCTGGGGCTCCTCTCACGCTGCCGCTCTGCGGAGCACCTCACGGCCACATCCTGCACCCAAACCCTTGGCTCTCCAAAACAACCGTGATCCCATCGATCACAGCAACGTTATTTAAACTCTTTCCTCTTCCATCCTTGGGTAGCATCCCTCGAGTCACCCTCAGGCCACAGCACATGCCCCATGGCACAGCATTCAGTGACTTGGCAGTGGTTATGTGGGGTCAGCAGCAGACCCCCGGGCACACCACCACCTATTCCAGACCACGACCTTCTCGACCAAGCTCTTCATTTCACCCAGCTCCCACCTACATCACCAACAAAAAGACATGCCACCACCAAAATGAACAAACTTCCCCCAAATCAATGTCTCCACGGATGTGGCGGTGCTAGGAAGCGCAGGAGGGCCCAGCCCTGCCCCTGGCTGCTCGGGAGCTGCGCCTTTGCCAGCTTTGAGCCTCTCCATCTCTGCACAGCACCGAGGCATTTTTATCCCGTGGCAGACAAGCAAAGCAAGGCACGTAAATCAGGCACGGTGCGAGCAGTCGGGGCTTTCCGGCGTGACATGTAGCAGGCAGGGCAGGGCAGGCATTTGTTTGGCAGAGGGAACGCCGCGGCTGGGAACTTTACAAAGCATGCAAGAGCAGAGCAAAGACATGCAAATATTTCTTCTGCATTCGATGCAAAACACGGCGCCGTGCTCAGACTCATAAAGAGGATGGGTTGTAAAGGGGCGTCGGCAGAAAGGAGCCGGCTGGGAGGCGGCGCTCAGGCAGCCCTGGGGACACGGGCGATGGGCAGCGACGGGCAGGGTGGTGCTGAGGGCATCCTGCACGCCTGGGGCAGGGCTGCGGGCAGAGGATAAGGAGGGGGGACAGGGAAGGGAGACCCCAGCCCGGCACTGCAGGCAGGAGCCCAGCGCGGGGTCTCGCAGCAGCAGCAGCCCGCTCCCCTCCCTTCCCCTTCCTCGTCTCTTCCCTAATTGACACTAATGGGAGACTGGCGGGGGGATTGGGGATGACATTGCTCAGCTTGACTCTCCCAATTTAGCTGATGTGCCATCACAAACAGCAACGCTTTAGTGGCCAGGAAGCACACCAGGGAGCAGGGCAGGGATCGCTGGAGCTCCTGAAGGGCCCCTCCTGCACAAGGACCCCCCCGACCTCCCCTGATCAGAAGCAGCAGTGCACTGCCGGGGGCTGCACAGTGCCTGCTGCACGGACATCCCAGAGCAGCCCCAAACCAAGGCTGCTTCCTCGGAAGCCTTGTTTGCATGAGAGAAACCATGGCACAGACCCTCCGAAAGCAAATCCCAGCGAGAAGGATGCAGCAGAGCCACAAACCTGGAGGCAACAAACCACGTGGCAAAATCAGGTCTGCCTTGGAGCTGTACTTAGAGCGAAGCAAGAGCTCTTGTGTTATACAAGTGTTTAGGAACAGCGCTTGCTGATGTGACTACTGGGAAAAGCCCTCCCCAGGTCCCCAAAGCCAAACCCCAGGAGCCCCAGGATGGGAATCACCTGCACTGGGACGTGCCCTGCAACTGCAGCACAGAGCTGCTCCTCCCTGCACCGCACCCCAGAACTGCACAAGGGCAACCCAGACACGTGGAAAAGGCCAGGGTGACTGAGAAAGCCCAGGCACGAGGAGCAGCTTTGCCAGCAATGAGCTGGGTACGGCTCTGAGCATCCTCAGCAGCGCCAAGGCCACGCGCCTGCCCGGCTGGGCGAGCAGAATGCCAGCCCTGGGGGAACGGTTTGGACCTGAGCGAATAAAACTCCCAGCCGATTAGATTAGAGATCCGTCCGCTCAGGAGGAATTACAGAAAGGCCTAAAGCCACAGATGTTATTAGTTTGTTGTTCCTCCTGGCTCGGAGCCCATCACTAGCAATGACGGGGGTGGCTCAAGCAAGCCCAGGGCTCCTGCAGGGAGGGGACAGGGGCTGCTGTGACCACGTCCCCGTCTGCCCTGGGCTCAGTTTTACGGCTCTTTGGGCCCTGCTGGGAGCTGGGCTCGCACAGAGCAGGCACTCGAGCAGCCCAGCTGCCCGGCAGCGCTGCCCAGCCCTCGGGGAGCTCTCCTGGCACTCAGCAGCGGCTCGGTTTCACGCGCTCCCCACGTCCCTGACCCCGCGCAGCAGCGGCTCGTTTCAGCGCCGCGCACACGCAGGGAGAGCTTCCTGGGGAAAAAAAAAAAAAAGTCAAACTTAGGAAGCATTCAAGCCAGCCTCATTTTAATCTATTTTTCATGTTAAATTATCCAACTGAGGGAGCGGGAGAGAGAAAGGGGAAGGAAGGGATAATATGAGAAATGTTTTATTTGACAATGTGTCATTCGGAAACTGATTATTTCTGTCTCAGAGCTTTTTAATATTCCCAAACAATGGCCGAGCCGCGAGGGGATTTGGTATGCTAAGGCTGGATTTATAATACTCTGTTCTGCAGTGATAAGAACATGGGCCTTTAATCCTCTGAGCTGTGAACATGCATATTCTCCCGCGTAATGCCCTTCCTTCCCGCGTGCCCCGGGCTCGCTGGAGCCTTCCCCGTGCCACATCCTCCTCGGCCACCGCTGGGGATGGGGACGTGTCCCAGTGAGCACCAGGCTGGGAGCAGCCCTCATCCTGCCCCAGGGCTCGGGGCTGGAGGAACCCAGGGTGCAGCGCCAGGGTCTGCAACGAGGCTTGGCAGGAAAAAGTGCCTGGGTGATGAAACAGCGCTCAGAGACACGGCAGGGAAAGCTGCCCGGTGGTAACGAGCCCGTCCCTCCGGTGCCTTGTTAGGGCTGTGCACGGGGACAGGACATGGCACGAGGGAAGAGGGGGCTGGGGAGGAAAAGGTGCAGGTGCAGGACTGCAGAGCTTCACGGCTCATGCGTGGGGCGGGAACAAAGCTCAGGTGAAGCTGGAAAGCAGCGAGGCTGAGACTTCTTAAACACCAAAGAAAAACTGTTGGAAGAAGCCACCTCCAAACCCCAGCAAGGACTGCCAGAGACTGGGTGTTGTATCAATGGCACAGGCTGCAAAAGTGCTGATCCAGAGGGTGATCAGCCTTTGGGTACCTGCCCAAAATGCTGAGCGATTTCTGGACAGCCAGAGACACGCGTGCTGCTCCAAACCAACCCAAACCATCCCTACAGTCTGGGTGAAACACCATGCAGATGTTCTGCCCCCTGCAGGGAAGGCAACCAGCTGCTACCAAATGGTCTGCCCCACAGAGACCATTTCCAGGTGATCAGAGGATCAGAACTTCAAAATACAACCCCCTACAAGTTATTTATTTTTATTTTTTTACATGGGAAGAGGATGGGAAAGGCCGCCTGTCCCCACACAAGGTACCATCCTTCCCCAGGGAAGCCGGCACAAGAAATCCTAATGGTCTGCAGCAAAAAGGGGCTGAAGAAGCAGGTCCTCTTGGAAACTACCTGAGCTTCATCCCGTTTTTACCAGTGCTGAGCAAGCCCCACTTGCCCCTCTCTCAGCCCTCTCTCCTGGGCTAGGAGACAGCAGGCACCTGCCAGCATTTCCTGACCGTCTCCCTGCCAAGTGCTGGCACCTGCCGGCTTCTGCCCCTGTACTGGCACCGGTGTTTGTGTCTTTGTTACCTGAGGTTTGAGAAAAACATCTTTCAGGCAGGACATTCCCAGCCAGCAGCTCCTGCAGCACTCCCTTGGTGACCCTGGCTGCTCGCTCGCACCTCCGTCACAGGCTGGCATCCCTCCATGTGCCCCTGCTGCTTTCCCTGGAGGGACTCATCTTTACAGAGAGGCCACAAGTGACCCACGGCACCGTGCACAGCTTTGTGTCTGAAGGCAGGAGACAGCCTGCGATTTCCCAGCCTGGCAGCCCAAAACCCTTTTGGTCAGACCACAACATCCTCTCCGCAGCGCTGAGCAAAGCTGCTGCAAACCAGCGCCGTGCCCAGCACAGCGCTACAACGAATCCCTGCTGCTGCTCCCCCTGAGCACTAACAAAATGCGAGGCCCTGGAGGAAAAAAAAAATAATACACATATATATATATATATATTATTTTTTTTTATATATATATATTTCTCTTCCAGCTTTGAAGCCACCAGCATTTCTGCACAACACCCATCGCAAGTTATTGCCCCGTGCCGTGCTGACAGCCAGCCCCACCGCCGCCTGCTTCTGGCTGAGCCAGGGCCCCCAGCCCGAGGCCACCGCCCTGGGGACAGTCCCCTGGCACGGCCAAACTGTGCCCGAGCAGCAGCCACCCCTGTGGTCACAGCCCGCAGCTTCGGGGAGCAGGGCCAGCAGCGGGGGCACCGCTGGAGCCCTGCTGGAGCCCCCTGCGAGCCCCGGCACGGTGAGCACGCAGAGGCGAAAGCGCGCGGCCCCCGCGAGCTCTTCACGCCGTGTGCTTCTCCCTTCCTTCCCTTTCTGGCGGGGAAGGTAATTAAACACTAGAACAATTTACCAGGGGTTGTAGTGGATTATCCATCACTGTCAAGTTTTTGT